TTGTGGTGGGAAAACTTGCTGCAAGCTTAGGAGACAATGCATCGAGTCAGAACCAGGAAGGTTTAGCCCAGCTTTGCCTGATTTTTACCCAAAAAGGGTATCAACGTGGACAGTAAGTGCCGTCTCTGGACCAGAGGAGAGCTTACAAGCTTCGGTGATTTCCTTAAGTGGAGAACATGGGAAAGGCTCATTTTTAAAAAATTCTGGCAGATCGAATCAAGTTGAAATGTCCACTCCCTGGAAAAGAATGATTTCTCCCTCTTTCTTCCAATGAGTAATTGCCGTGATCAGACGCTGAATGTTTACACGACAGAAGAAAAGAAAAATGCTTCATTATTTTGTATCATTGGATGAGATCTGAGGAAAAGGGCTTTCTGATTGCACCATATTTTGTCTTTCGGTCTCGCCGATTAGTAGTTCGCCTTTGGCTGGAAACACACTCATGATCGATGACTTGGCATGTCGCGGCTACGCCGCTGAAATGTACACTTTGTTGTTGTTGGGAGGCTTGGGATGCAGCAAAATGGGAGATTTTGTGTTTTTCTGTACTCAATGACTGCCTGCTAAAAAAAGAGGACCCTTTGCATGAATAAAATGTTACACTTTGCATCGACGACAATAAAACTGCTTTTAATGTACACGGCGCATTTCAAGTGAAATAAATGCCGAGTATGTCGGGAGTGCCGTTTGCAAAGGAGTGGCTCGCTTTGGTCATTAGCTAATAGCCAGACGACTTGACAGTAAACTGAGCGTAATAGAAGCTTCCAGTTGACATCTGACAGGTAGGCGAGGCTGCGCCGGAAAAATCAAGGGTGGTAAAGTTGTCAATGCAGACAAAGGTCTGGATCGATAAAAACCTGTTTGCGTTATAGTGTTTCTGTTTCCCATATCCTGGTGATTGTCTAAGTGTCCCGCGATTGCTTGGCAACCAGCCCGTGGGTGTCCCCCGCCTCTCGCACGCAGTCAGCGATGGGCTCCCGTTCACCAGCAACCCTAATGAGGACTAGCAGTAATGAAAGTGGATGGAAGGGGTGGATGGATTGAGAGGCGGTGGTCTGCAAGTGACCAGAGTATTCGCCTAACCTGCCAACAAAATGACCCGAGGTTGTAATCCATATCTTGTACTCGACCTTTCTATATGTAAAACCTTGTTATCCCCCCAAACAAACACGTGACATGCCAAGTAATCCCTTATTGACACGTGAAACAATAAGCAAGCTGACGCCGGCGAATGGAAATAGAAGCCAAGAACACAATGTTGTTGGTTTGACCTTGTTTCTGTTTGTGTGACACGCAAAGCTGTCATGTATCACTCTCATCTGTCACTTTGATTCGGCTTGTAATTCCGAGGTTACACCGACGCTAACATAAATGAATGCGCAAAAATATTGGAGCAATGCACCAAAGACCCAAGCGGGGCTCGGATGAAGCGTTGTGTTTCATCGGCAACGTCTGATTTGCTGCACTCGTAAACTTGTATGCTGAGACCTGTCCATCATAATGGGAGACCGGGACAGATTTATGGAAAAAGTTTTATAACAGCATTAACCCTTCCATCCATCAAACATTTAAAAGTGATATAAATTTAACAATGCGTTTATTGTTGCGGTTGGAGACCTGCACTGCATCACAATTACAAGTTAGTCCAGTTTGTCCCTGTCACGTGTGGCTTAAATAAGGGAAACAGAGTACACTCGGAGAGTGTCAATCAAAATCTGAAATGTTACAGTACACTGTAGAATCTGAGATACAGCAGCTAAGAATACAATGACAATTGGTAACAGCTGTGATGCTAACAGATGCTATGCTTATAGCAAGATAGCAAAACTGAGTGCCCAACACAGATACGTCAGGAAATGACACTTTTCCGAGCACTTCATAAGGATTACAGGTATAGATTTTGCCCCGTTGAAACGAAAAACAACAAAATGCTAACACACTGACAATAGCAATGCTAGCATAAAGCAAGATGGCAACCCCAGTAAGGAAAACATCAAAACGGATCAATAAGGATTTTACACCGTGCCCTGTAAATACTATTTCAATGACCATTTCAAATGAGAATTGATTAAATTCTAACATGCTAATAGTTGCTATTCCAACTTAACAATAGCACCCTGAGAAACCAAAGCCCTGTATTCAGGAAATGCTAACAGCTGCAATGCTAGCTCATAGCAATGTAGCAAACTGATAAGGAAATTACATATTTCCTTGCATTCTAATATTGTTTCTAATGAGGATTGTTGAAATGTTGCCATGCGAGTAGTTGCTATGTGGACATATAGAAACATAGCAGCAAAAATTCAAGAGGTGATCCTAATGTTGTGACTGGTGAGCCTATATGTAGTCCCTCTAGAGCTATATTTATCCTCCCCCCCCCAAAAAACAAAACAAAAATGTGAGCAAACTTCCAACTTTAGGCATAAACATAGCAATTGGAGATTTACTGTACGATAAATGAAAATAAAAGCACACAGCAGGTTATCTCCTCTCCAGTTTCAATATAATGACCGATGTCATCACCTTCACCAGAGAGCTACGAAAGACGCGTTTGGATTCTTCTCCGCAGTTCAAGCGAGACGAGTTGATTTCAGCCTCGCGGACCACTGGGCACTGTCTCAGTGATCAAGTGACTCATCCACCTCGAGTCAACAAACCCCCAGCGGAGTTTCTTGCATCCATCAAAAGATGCGGTTGACTTTGGGGCCTTATGTAACTTGGCAGGAATCCATCATGCGTGTACCAACCATTGTGGTCTTCCGGGACCGCGAGACAAACACTCGCAGCCCGACTTAAAGGGATTACATTTTTTTTTGTGTGACAACAGGAATGTATAACATTCCCACAAGTGTGCCACTTTAGGGGAATGAAACTGAAAGTAGAATGCGACCTAATTTACTGAACCTTTGCAAACTCTAACTAACGAAAGTGTTTTTCAATAGATCGTGAAAACCCACTCATTGCGGGGGACAAGTTCCAGACCCACATGCTTTGGGTGAAAAGCCACAATATTCAGGGATCATATATATGCTCATATATATTTTTTGATATGTTTTAGCCCTCTCAGACACTTTAAACACATTTCAACAAGCATGAAATGTACAGAAAATACTGGACGCGATAGCCGCTAGGCCACCATGCTAGCTTACGTGGCTAAAACGGTGACTCAAACAGTGAAAAATCTGGCCGCTTTTATGGTGGCAGAAAAGCAGTGGTGGCCCGACAACGTTGCACTCGTCGACTCACTAAATATGGCGCCGAGGCATTTTTGCCAAAGTGCGCCCAAGAGCGTACTTTAAAGGGAGGCTTCGGCGTTGGCTTTTGTGATTCCGCCTCGATGCTCGCACGGGGCGGTTGGTTCTGCACAAAAGGCATACAAGGGATTCTCGCTATTAATTGACATGAGCGAGTAGGTGATGATGTAAGAGATTTCTATCTCCCCGAGGATCAAGTTTGAATTCTCCTCGGCTTCCTTCATTACGCAATGACATATTCGCTTTCAGGCCAGCCCACAGGTTGACTCTTGACTCATGTGGGAGCAGCCACCCGGCTTTCCTTGAACGCTACCACTGTAGGCTGCTAGCTTAATTAGAGCATAAATAGGGTAAGGGGGCGGGGGGGGAGGGATAGACGACATATTATTTTGCCATTAGCCCCGCTGAATGCATTTTTGACCAATAATAGCTAATGTGCAAATCAATGCTTCTCCTCAAGGTAAATGCTGACAGATGAGACAGATGTATCACTGCTGCGTGGAAGCGATTATAACGCTGCTAAAATATTCTGCTAGGACATTACACACGGTGAATTAATTTTATTATGCCATAACTGTTCGCGGATTCATTAAGATTTGCCTATCCAATTATGTCTTTCCAATTAAAAGCATGTATCGGTAAATCTTTTTGATCTTTTTAACAGATAAAAAAAAAAAAACACACATTTGCTTTTCAGTGAACCACCGCAATATATTTGACTTTTGTAGCTGCCAAAAATCATGTCAGTAAAGTTTTTTTTTTTTTTTTTTTTTTTTAAATCACCAAAACCAAATCTCATGCACACCAACTCCGAGCCTTCAAGGTGCTCTTGGTACTAGCTTGAAACGCATCCTAGTGTAGTTGGCGTATGATGTAAAAGCGACATCATTGACACGGACGCCGTTTGCAAACTGACCGTGTGGCTGCACGTTCGCATTAAATCTGAGGCGCTTATGTGAAGTCATATTTAGATCCCTAGAGTGAGACATTCCACAGACTGGATTGTCTTTGAAGGTTAAAAAAAAATAAATTAAAATCCCTCGCAGACTTGACTGACATCATCAGTCCTCTCAGCAGTCCCAACACACTTGACTTGTTCTTGGACAAGACCTGCGAGCCGAGCAGCAGCGCAAGGGCCAGTGAACCTCAAGATAGTCGCACTCCGGCCGGCGCCAGATAGCACGTGCCACTCGCTTTCAAGCACGCGGCGAGAAATAAGGTTAAATGGTTTGAACTCCACCATACAGGAGCCTCTTTCTATTTTTACAATGCAGTGGAGACAGCCTCTAATTCTGAGATGAGAAGCAGAGATGTTCTCGGAAAGGGTTATAAATACGTACTGGAAGAGTTTGACAATGCAACAGTTGCATTGTTTTTTTTTTTTTAAAAGGTGGGGGTGGGCATAGTTTTTAAAAATTGGACACAGCTGCTCCTTCATAAACGCTTCTAAAAACCAACTTACGAGAAGTGAATCGGTGAGAAGATGCCGACTGCAGATGACCCCATCGCTGGTTTTCTTTCATCCAGCAACCCCTTTAAAGTTTGGAAAAAAAAAAAAATCCCTTCGGGGAGATTTTCTTGTGACTCACAAGGGTGGCGTTTACAATCGAACCCCAGCATCTTTTTCCACAAAGCTATTTTTGGTGGGCGCGAGGAAGGTAGGAACAGCTGTTACGAGCGACGAATATTCGGGCATACATGTGTTTCTCGTGGAAAAAAAAAAAAAAAAGAAGCAAGGTTACTCACCGAGAAACTGGACTCCTTTGGTCTTTCCGTAGACATCGACGAGAACCCACAACGGCAGATAAGCGCTAACCTTCTTGAATAGCCGTCTAGGGGTGTTTCCGTTGATCCGGTAATGCACCCGGCCCTTCTTGGTGACCCAGAACGAGATGACGGTGTCTCTCATGAGAAGCTCCTCGGGCAAGGGTTTCGCCCAGAATCCGCTCCTCGAAGCCAGATCCGGACATGAATATCTGGGTAATTTTTTGGGGTCCATGCAGGACGGGTCTTGAGAAGTAAAACCGATGCGGAGAGCACCCTGCCAGTCCTGGTAGTTTTCTGTGATCTGGTTCGGGTGGGGGGCGGGGTGTAGATTAAAGTTTGACGGTCAGAAAGGATGAAACAGAACAACCATTAACTCATTCACTCCCAAAGACGTTTTTAAACGTCTTTTCAGACTTGGTCCAGAATTGGCTGGTGCTGAATGAGTTAAAATGAAGTCAGTTAGCGTGCTAAGCAAATTTTAAGGCGACGCGTAAAATATATGCGCTTCAATATCAACTCGGCGTCTGAATTCTCAGCGAACGTACGCCGGGAATTTCTCGTTCATCGAATCACCCGCCGCATAAATGTTTTCTTATTGTACTGCGTTTGCTGTTCAAGGTGACAGCATTCAACTCGCTTTTCGAGATAGAGCCGCCGGCCTGACAGCGCGTGCCGAGCCGCCTCTTTGGCCAACACAAATACAAAAGTGAGAAAACACAAGAGGAGAGAAAAGAGGTGAGAAGACGAGTGGGCGTGGAGGAGGACTTTCTCTCCCGATCAAGCTCTTCACAAAAAAAAAAAAAAAAAAAAAAAAAAGACTGCTATTTCTGCTAACATTGCAGCACGGAAACATGAAGAAGACAATACCGTTTGTGCATGCAACATCGTTAAAATGGCTGGATGGGATGAATGGCTGATTGATGGATGTATGGATGATAAATAAATCCCGGATCGTAAATAGAGTGATTGGAATTTTTGGATCAACAAATGTTGGAGGATGCTTCGGCTTGATTGGTTCAGAGGGTGGCGGCTGATTCGGAAGATGATGAGAGATGATGAACTGGAGTGATCGAAGAAGTGACAGATAATAGACAAATGGTTCCATAGAGGATTGATTAGCTCAATATTAGATGGATTGGTTGGTTCAACAATGGATAGAAGAACATGACTATTGATGGAAAAACTGCATGGATGGATTTAATAATACAGTATGTAGATGATAACTGGGTGAGACAAACGGATGGTTGGTCAGACGACTGGACAAATGGATGGGTGATGGACGAATTGATAGATGGGACACAATGATCGATGGGCTGACAAAAGAACACAAAGGATCAACAATTGGTTGACGCATAGATGGGCAGCGAGTGGGTCGGATGGATCATTTGATAGATGGGACACAACGGCGGATGAGCTGATAATTGGAGCAAAGGGTTGACGGATGAATGGATAAATAGATGGATGACGGACAGATTGGTAGATGGGACCTGACCAATGTTGGATGGGTTGCTAAAACTATGGACAGTTAACGGATGACGATTGGGGAAAAATGGCTGGACGTCGACAGGGTCGACTGTCTGAGCGATTGACGGACGGAGGGATGGGCTTGAGGATGGGGATGGAGAGACGAGCAAGACTGATGAGCGAGGAATGGACACGTGGATGAATGATCGACGCATGGATAAATTGATCCATGGGACATCATAATGGATGATGGAACAATTCGATGGATGGATGGATGGACTACAGATGCTGGATGGATGGGAAAATGCCAAGACGGCGGGGGATTGAGTGGGTGACGGATGGAAGGATGATGGATCCATGGAGAAATTAATTGATGGAATGTGAGAGTTGATCTGATGAATGGACGACGACGGATGGATGGAAGAATGGAGGGATGATGGGAGGAGCAAGTGGTTGACGCTGGAGAGATGGACGGACGACTGGTGCATTGATAGGACATGATGGCGGGTTGCTTATAAATGGATGGATGACGGATGAATGGAGAAATGCTGAGATAATGGCTGTTAACGGACAGGCTCATTAAACGGACGACGCCGGCCAAAGACGACGAAGCTCCTCGTCGCGGCAAACCCCGATAGCGGATGTGCGTCGCCATAGAAACGCAAAGCAAAATCTGGCTCACCTTCAGCCGGACCACCTCGTTGACCGCCACGCTTCTGTTGCTGAACGCGACGGCGTTGCAGAAGCTGCCTTTCCTTCTGACCGCCCTCTGCGACTCGTCGATGATGATCTGCGAGCCCTTGGCCGTCGGGTGGAAGAGCAGAGGTGGCTGAGAGGCCGTCGGATGGACGTGCTTGCTGGGATGCCAGTTCATCGGCTTTTGGTGGGGGCGGTAGTGGTGCTGGTGCTGCTGTTGCTGGTGGTGGTGGTGGTGGTGCGAGTGCGAGGCGGATGACAGAGCCAGGATGGGAACGGCGCAGTCAGAGGCATGCTTGTGGTGAGGCGAGGTGGACGGAAGAGCCGCGATTGGAACCGGTCCATGGAAGTTATCTGGAACACACAATTGTTGTTATTTCAACATCCGCTTGGCGATACGGTGACCCCCTTTAATCGCCGGGGGGGTTGGGGGGGGGTGGTACATCCTTAATACAAACTTGCTTTTCATTGGTCAGCAAATGTGTAGAACGTTCCAAGATGAGCCAGGTCTTTAAAATTATAATGACGATGACGCATCGCTTTCGCGGTTTCTTTTGTGTTGTTGACAAGGTCACATGACCACAAGTTCTCATGAACGTGCCAACGCTGACATCATCAGCAATCACCGGCTGGCCTAACCCACATTCAGCAGAACCCCGAAGCAGTACGGCAAATGTTTTACGTCAAGCTAACGTTTTGACGCCCGCACTTGAGCACGCTATTTTTCGAGAGGTCGTCACCCTTCCCCTTCCCCCCTGGAGACAAATTATCAATCAACCCAAGACAGCCGGGATCGGTAAATGCCGCCTGGTTGCCGCTGTTTCTATTCCAAGAGTGTCACGCGGCAGATTAGCCGGTGCATTTTGAAGAATCAACATTTCATCTCCGTTAAGACTTTTCGGCCAAGAATCACAATCGTCGGCGCATTTCGGAGCTCTCTTCTTGCGCTTTTTTTGCTTCTCTGAGGAACAAGGCTCGATTGTTCCTGGTCATATCTACGACGAATACTTACACCGTCGTACGTCATGTCGTGTAGAAAACAAAAGAATGAAGACAAACTGTAATTAAGTCGTAAAATACAGATCAAGTCCGCCGATTTTTTTGATTTTGAAACACTCCAACACTCTTCTTTGCACTTCTAGTTTGAGCGTGAGTGTAAAGTGGCATACGTGAAAAATATTGACGCAGGCGTCACGGTTAGCTCAGCACATCCGCCGGCATTTCTTTAGCGTGTGTGTGTGCAGATTAAACATTGATTATGCAAATGCTCATGTGCATAGACTTCCTCGTTCACAACTTCCACGTGGTTAAAAGTGATTCAAGTGTGATTTCGCCACTTGGCGCATTTTTGTCATTTTGAACGCCGTCCTTCACAACCCTGCTGGACATGGGGACGGCTTCAAGAGTTGGTTTTCAAACCAACGTCGGGTGCGGTTCCATTCGCGTCAGCTCAAGTGTCAACACTCCACAGACCGGTGTTAGTGAGAACGTTTAATCCGGCACAGTTTTCCAAGGGAGGTGTGACTTTAGAAGACTGCCGTTGTGAATGCGGTGGGGCCCCAACGCCACCGTTGGCCACGATAGCGAATAACTAGCGTGAAGAGTGCCTGACTGATTGCCTTTCGGGTGTGTGTTTGGGTGGGCGGAGTCTTTGAAAGATGCCGACTGTGCCATTACAACCAAAGACTGTTTTGTTCTGAATGTCTTCCATACTTTAGTTTTGGTTTTATGTGACACTCTTGGTTAAGCACAGCATTAAATCTTGATTATGGAGCTATTGAAGTAAATGAAAAAAAAAAAAAAAAACACCACCCACCTACCCAATCTTATGAGCTCTATTCGCCATGAGTCTGATGCTAAAATATCAAATTTGATCGTATTTATCAAAGTTGAGCAGCACTTAATTTTGCTGCTTTATTACAAAAATATATATATATTGCATGTCAGTAGAGAGTGGCGGCGAACCTAATGAAGTTTCCTTCCAGTGTGATGACATCAGCTGTAACTTTTCAGTTCACCTTGAAGAGGCGCATAATCACTCCCCTTGTGTACATCACACTGAGCCGGCGGTAGACTTAAAAATGACAAACACGCACGGTGAGGTTGGACCCAAAGTGATTGATGAACCCGAGAGTGGGATAAGAGGATCAAGAAAACCCTGAGAGGTATTATTGATACGTGCGGTTTTCTGGTTCCAACGGGACGAGAGGGTGCCGTCGGTAGGCCACAAATTTCCAACACAGAACCGTTTATCAACGCGAACACGCCTTTGAGGTGAAATTTGGCGAGGATGGAGTCCGTCCGTCTGTTTGTCTGCTCACAGAACTGATTCACAGTGCAGCTTAATCAAGCTAACTTCTGTTCATTTGGCCCATCCCTTCATTGTGATCATGTCTCATCTATGTTCGTAATCATGTTGAAAACTTTTCATGGGTCCCAGAAACTGCTGTCAATCCTCTCATGAGAGGTTGAATGCCCCTTTAAGAAAACCCTCTGATGTTTGACCAGCATTTCATATCTTGTAAATATGTCACAGCCATGCTGTGCCGTTTGTTGTTGATTCTATTGGCTACGTTTCACTCTGCTGTCTGCATCCAGGTCATTATTACAAATGAGAATCTTAATTGTAAGGGGAAAAAAACTATTTAAATATGTATATAAATTCTCTTTTGTAAATTCATTTGAAAAAAAAAGAAAGAAAAACATGTTTATCGAAACATTACAACTTAAAAAAAGTCAGCACGGGCGACGTTAAGTAGTTAAAAAAAAACAAAAAAAAAACATGTCCTTTAGGATATCGCAATTAGTAGGTCACGACATTCAGTACGCCGAACCTGTTTGATTACATCCCATTAACAACAACTATGAAGCCTCACAGAAAGCCAAGAAGCAAACATCAAAAATCAGACGAAGTATAAAACAACAAAGACAAGTTTACAAGTACTCCCTTCAATAAAAACAAAAGTCATGACATGCGAAGAAAAAAAAACCAGAAGTGTATGCTGAAACCATTTCGGAATGTTGATCTTTTGGAGGAAATGTACGAACTTGCATTTCAGGAAAGTTTTATTTGCAAAGCAACCGTCATGTGATATTCCAACGTAGCCTAGAAGAGGTTCAAACTCGCCACAAAGACACCACGGGGCAGATAAGAACAATAATACTTATAAAATAGCGATAAATATGATTTTTCTCATGTTTTGGACTTACAATTGTGTCTGGTGACTTGCCCCCCCATGGCTGCTGCTGGATGCAAGGTGCGTTCACGGTCCTCTCCACTCGGAATTTAGCGGCGCATCCACGACAATCGCTTTCCAGCGCGCGCCCTTGAATGTTTCATTCCACCCACGCGCGAAAGAGTCTTTTCGACGCAGGCGGACGACGACGCTTGCTCGAGATGCTGCTGAGCGAAGTGTGGCCGCTCGTCTTACACGCACACAAAAAAAAAAAAAAGCTTAAAGAGCCTCACAAGGAGGAGCGCACACATGCTCCCCGCATGCATCATTTGCATAAAAGGTGCGAGTGGAGGTGGAGCCTGGCGGGAAGATCCATTTACGAGCGAGCGCGTCTGAAAATGACTGAAACGGACATTTTTCGACCGACTCAAGTGGGAAATGATGCCGTAACTGTGAGAAATAAAATTGCCTGAACGATTCCGACCCAGCAAAAGTTCCTACACCCAAATTCAAACACAAGACGATGCATTCTGAAGCGGTATGCTTACACTCAGAAAAAATAAAATAAAATCCCACCTATATCCTAACATTTATTGACTTATTTAATAATTAAAAAATGACAGCGTTTGCTAGTTAAGATTTAGGCTTGCATGGTTGACTAAAATCCTTTTCTGTCGGACCTCAAAAGCTCCATCTTGTTAAAAGTTCCAATTTCCAAGTTTTCCCGAATGCGTCACAGCGCTCGCGTTTAACATTTAAAAACCTTTTCATGCTCGGCGAGAAACTTCAAAGCCACAGGTGGCACTATGAGCACTGATGGTAACACAGTCGTGCGTGCCTGAATCAAATCTTTTTAAAAAATAAGCCCTCAAAGCAGCTCTAAAATTGAAAACTGTGCAGCGAATCCGTGTGGTGGGTATCAGAATGGGCAGCATCAAACCCTGATGGGTACACTCCTAATAAAAATATATTTGCGTTTTTAAACATTCAACTTGAAAGACTAATGAGTGCAATTACATCAGCACTGAAACAACGGGGGAACGCCTCTCCAGCAAAGCGTATCGCTACACCGCTGCCGTGTCGATTTCCAACCCGCATTTATCAACGACGTTTATTCGATTATTCAAATTGTGAATAAAACTCGGCAGACCAGTCACTTGCACAAATTGTGCCATCACCAACAACAGGTCACATATGCAAGGTAGCGTTGTTTTCACGTATTCAGGTCCAACCCCCTCCCCCCCAAATTCTACAACAACAGGTATTGTGAAAATGAAACCACCACCCCGCCGGCCGTGTCAATAATTTCCAGGAATGACTTTTCCAGACACGAGGCTCATATTTCAAGTCGACTTCCATATTTGTCAAGCCTCCGACCTCTCACTCATAAATTTGAACACACCGCGGGCCACTGGCCACGCCTCCCGCAACTGTGGATTATTTCTAGCAAGGGCGCCTGGCGCTGCAGCAGCTGTCTTGTGCTGGGACACGCTTGTGGTGGGGGGGTTCATGTGGCACCAATCACGACAGCTGGCCATAATGTATGTACGCTCTGTATTTCATTGCCCCCCACACCATCCCCCGAAAAAAGAAAAAACAAAAAAACCCCACCAATGAGATGTGTAAAAATTCACAAAACAACACGAGAGCATCAGATGATCCCCACCTGAGGTGCCTCAGCAAGACACCGACCCAGTACGGGCGCAAGAGTGGCACCAGAAAGCTGAAATTTGCCACGATTACGCTGGACGAGATGATCCAGTGCTTTTGGACACCACTCGACAAAAACACATTTAAACTGTGCCAAACGACCCCCCCCCCGCCCATTTTAACTTTTTTCAATTTTATTTTATTTTATTTTTGGTGGTATGATCAACTTCGACGTGAAATGATCAAACTTCAACGTCACGTCCGATGGCGCTTGCCAAAACAAAAAATTAAAATTAAATATCAACACTGCGCTTAAATCACGAAAAAAATCAAAAGCGACATAAGTCAAACAACAAAACCACAAAAAAAAAAAAAAAAAAAAAAAAAAAAGATGCCCTCAATCGAACACAAAATTCAAATGACGTATTGTACTTCAAAGCTTTGGACCATCACGAGTTGCTCTCTTCAGACAGGGACTTCCCTTTTGCCTTGCAAGGGGGCAGTGGTGAGGCCCCTGCTGAAAAAGAGCAGTTGAGATCGGAAATGATCTCAGCAATTTTAGACCGGTATCTAATTTAGCTCACTGGTTTTATTCACGCGAAGAATGACCAATTTCATTCTGGTTTTACGGCGGACCACAACACCAAGGTAGCCCTTTAAATGATTGGGCTATTGAAGAAGAAAAAAAAACCCCAAACATTTTTAACCATACAGTCCACACAAACTAAACTTAAGAAAATTGTGTTTAGCGCTATGACGTTTTAAGATGCGTCACAAGGAAGCAGTGACAGCTCCGACGAAGGCTAAAGTGATAGCCGAAACTGTCATCTAGGGAAGAGTTTTTCCTCTTCACCGCCCCCCCCCCCCAAAAAAAAAGAGACCGTTGTCTGGAAAAAAAAAGAAACTTTAAACCTAAAGTCGTGTTTGGACTTGTTAATAAGTACACTTTCACCAGGATACATACAGTATTTGCGAAAATTTGAGAGTTTTCAGGCATGGTGAAGCTCCCAAAAAAGGCGATTCAATCCCAAATAATTTTTGTCTTGGTGTAGCCTGTCAGTGTATTAAGCTATCATAGCCACCCAGTTTCACTTTTGATTCACGTTTGCTCAGAACAATTAACATGCTTACGTCAAGGGTTACTTGAGGTCAGAGATTTAATTAGACAGAAATGTAAGGGCGGAGGACATTTTGATTTATGAGCATCATTCCACGTGCCGTAGAGAGGAACTGAAAAATCTTCATCCAGATTATATTTCTTTGTACAATATTGTATTTTTGAGGCGCGTGTTTCAATAATGACGTTGATTTTTGTGTAAGGAAGTGCAAAATGGTCCCTCGTCGCGTGCCAAGTTCATGACTTCACTCTTTCATTTTAAAATGACGACTGTGTTGTTGTTGTGTTTGTTTTTTTTTTTTTTTTTTTTTTTTTAAGTCTGTATGTTATAACATTCAGGAAATAAAACTGTAGCACCTCACTGCTTGAACAGCATGCCTTTCAAGACAAGTCACTCTTTTGTGTGCACCCTGGCAAGGATAAGAACAATTAAGCGCGTACTGTGTGAAAAGCAGCAGGCAATCGACAAATAATATCACCGTTGTTTTTCTGACGCAATGGTTGGATTGTTTGATCACATTTAGGGAAAAGCGACATGCGTCGTCATGTTGCACCGTGTTTCGATCAAAAGAAGGATTTTTCACACCCTGTCTATTTAAAACACAGGTGTCAAACTCAAGGCCCGCGGGGCAGATCCGGCCCGCCACATCTTTTTATGTGGCCCGTGAAAGCAAATCATGCGTGTCAACTTCCATGATGCTTGCTAAAATCTGTATCGAAATGTCAAATTGTCACATGTGATAAATAACGTTGAGATCTTGCGGTAATTTTGTTACCCTGTTTACTCTGACTTGAATAAAAGATATGCAGTAGTTGACTTGTAAGCCGTCAATGTGTTCTGTCGAAGTAATGCGACGATGAGACGATCAAACATTTATTTGCTTTCACTGTTGTAACGACCCTGCAAGGGAAGACTTAACTTCAAAGTGTCCCGCGACACAAAATGAGTTTGACACCCCTGATTTACATTGATAGAAACAAAATAGCGCACTTGCTAGTGTGCCTTCTAGAGCTATTTTTAGCCCTAGCTTAATGCCAAGAAGTCCGAGACAACAACAACAAAAAAAAACACATCGAGCCCGGACTCGAGTACAACAGCCCTTGCCCGACCCTTGATGAAGACAAGCGCCACAGAAAATGGACTGATACATCGATGAATGGATCGTACTCTATGACTGAGGTCATTAGCATACCTGCTGGCGATTAGCGCTTATGTTTGGGGTCGAAAATCCTTCCACTTCGGCCGTCAGTGTCTCGCACCACTCACACTCACGTTCACCTATGTGGAATTTAGAGTCAGTTTTGCCCCCCCCCCCCCAAAAATTAGCTAAGCTTCAAATACAGATCTTCCAAACTCTCAGGCATAAATGCCAATCGCTAGTGCATTCCATGACAGTGACTCAAAACCTTTTGATGGTGCATACCACAAACATGACAACACTTCTGCGCGGCGCGTTACGGCGTCGGACAGCTGTTTGCAGTCTCACCCATTGTTAGTGCGCTATTCTAAACTGTTTAGAGCAACCTCGAGCCTGCGAAGCGCGCTGGCCAGACCGTGTCGGAATGTGCGCCGGCGCAGGGCGTAAACAAAGCACGGACAAAGCGTGTTTATAATGAAACGCGACGTTTATCGTCAGTAACCGTTTAAGCGCGGCCATTAAGCTCGGCTGAGATGCATAATTAAAGCGCTCGGCGTAAATTTATTAGGACGCGGTGACAACACAGACGCTTCCTGTCTCGCTTCATCAACGTAGCGCGTCGCGATTACGATATACTGCTGGACACGTTGCTTATTTCACACGCAGCTTGTCCTTTCTCTGACTTGATTGGTTTTTAATTCCCTATCTGTAAATGATTTGTTCTCTCACTGCTGTCTTCCATCGTTTTATTTTTATGTTTTTTTTAAAACTCAAGTCTCAGTGCTTAGATGTTACTTCATTTCCCTCATTGGCGTCGTTCCACTCAAACACAAATCACGAGAACCTCAAGGCCAAAAAGTCCCCACAACGACAAGTTTACAAGACATTTCAGTATACAAATGGTAAATTTTGGTACGCTGTGTAACTACTGGCAAATTCCACCTGGAAAGTATCCTTCGAAGATCAGGAGATTTATCGTTGTATATCCCCTCACGGGGTCACAACATTAGGTACACGATGTGATCCAATCCAAGAGATCCTAGATTATTATGGAGGATACCTTTCAAATTTTTTTGTAAATACTGTACAAAATGACACTTGAACTACAATGTAAAGCAGTCAGTGTGCGACTTGGATAATTTACCGTCAAAACAACTCAATACACAGCAACTAACGTTCAACCACTGGCAACAAAAGTGAGCACACCCCGAAGTGAAACGATCCACATTGGGCCCAATTAGACATTTTGCGTCATCAGTGTTACAAGATTGTGACTCGCTCGTGTTACAAGAGCCCAGGTGTGCTAATTCTGGTGTTAACACACTCTTACTGTTCACTGGAAGTTCATTTGCTTGCTCTACATCGGGGGGGTGTCCAAATCAGGATAGTTATCAGATTTCCGCAAAGCTCGCTGATGACGATCTTATCTACTGAATCAAGTGTGTTGGAGGAGGGAAACATCTAAAACACGTCGAAAGCCTGTCGGATAGAAGATGACTGATAGGAAAGCTCCCAAAATAGTTTTCTGAAGACAAGCAGAATTGGGACATAGATTATTTGAACCATAGCCTGTGGTCTGATGAGACCAAGATCAAATGATTTGGTTTAGACAACGTCACGCACGCGTAGCTTTTTCACCGACGGGCAAT